CCCCCCCCCCTCCCCCCAACGCTGCACCATTGCACCAACCCTCCACTAGTGATGACGTACCATTACAATGTATCGCTGGTTGGTGGCCATGTTTGCGTGTTTGCTTGTCGTTAGTGGTCTCTCCACCGTGTTTCTTTTTCTGTCTCTTATTTCTTGTTATTTTCGGCCTGGTCCCATTTTGTCCTCGCTCTTTTTATTTAATTTTATTTCAGAATGTGTCCTTTTATTTTCTTCTCTTTTTCGCTTTTTCTCTCTTTTTCTGTGCCAGATGGCCTTGTCTCTGCTTGCGTTGTGAAGCACCAAGATTGAACCAAGGTGGTGAACCTCATTCTCTCCGGCCCGTGATGGTGACCCCTAGTCTCAGTTGTTACCTCGCATAGCGCGCAGAGGGAGTGGAGGACTCCAGAATATCTGTCATTTATTTCCATTGACTTGCGGACCCCTCGAGGTCATTTTATTTTAGTGTAGTCTACCTTTTTGGGTAAGTTAGCCTGCGACCACGGGAATCGACCGCGTCGAGTGTTGTATCAGTACGGACATACGAAGGTACTGGGTAGAGAGAGATCGGAACGGATATTATTGTGAAGACAACAACAACAACAACAACAACAACAACAACAACAACAACAATATCCGCCGTCACCTTGGGGCTCTTGTCGAACTCGGCCACGGCGACCATAAGCATCGCGGCCAAGAACAAGTTGAAGAGCAGCGGGGCCAGGTTGCATCCCTGTCGGAGGCCTTGCCTCAAGTCGAACCCCGAGTACTGCCCATCGTCCGTTCGGACGCGCGCCCTCATGCCCTCGTGGAAGTGGCGAATGACCGCCAGCATCTTCAGGGGCACGCCGAAGCGTCGGAGCACGTCCCACAGTAGGTCTCGGTCCACCGAATCGTATGCCTTGGTGAGGTCGACGAAGCACGCGAACACCGCAGTACTCTTATGCCTCGCGAGCTCATGGAGCCGCCGGATGGCGAACAGCATGTCGAGCGTCGACCGGTGTGGGCGGAAACCGCTCTGCTCCTCCGGGAGGATGCCCTCTCGCTCGCAGTAGTGGCTCAGTCGTGTAGCGACGACCTTAAGCAGCACCTTGCCGGATTGTGCGACGAGAGAGATGACCCGGTAGTTGCCGCACTCCATCGTGTCCCCCTTCTTGAACAGCACTTTGATGGTGGCTATATGTCATGTGTTCACTCATTTTCATTCGAATATAGCTTGACTGGTCACTAAGGAAGCCCTTGCCTATTCTCCAACGGGATGGTAATAAGTGATGGAAATGAATGTTAGGCACCAAATCGTTTCCGCGTGTGAGCTGGTTAGGTTATATCATTATTTGCTCCGTCTCTACATGGGTCGATTTTGAGTAACTTCCTTGCCACGGCAGTCTTGCTAGGAGCGCCATGACGTATCAATCCATCTGTACTCTACAATGATACAGACCGACTGTACGTCATGAAGCTGCAGCCCTTCACAAGCCTCAGCATTTTCCGCTCGACGCTCGCACACACCCCCATCAGCCACGGGACCAGCGCAGCAACCGCGGTATTCGGATTTGGCGAGGGAAGAGGGCTGGGCAGATAGGGAGCTCATCGAAAGCCTTGGTGAGTAATCCGCGAAAGCACTATTTTTTCCGATCGGACGCGTGGGGGTAGGGGTGCATGGAGGACAATACTCGGTGGTAGCGGTGAGAAAAAAATGCTCTGCTGGAAATAGGCGGACGCGGGCAGCCACGGTTTCGACATCCCGGGGTTTGGGCTTTGCGGAACAATGCTCTCCGTCGAATCCTTGTCCACGAACCCAGCCGATTCGAGATCCACTAGCTGTTCTGCTGAAACTGGCGTACCCTCAATGAGCAGCCCGGCTCGCCCGATCCGAAAAGAATATTAAAATTAACACCCGCCCGTGGCTTCCTTGGTAGGAATCGTGCTGATTGGGCGATGGTCTCTTCAGAGGCGAAAGGTTTTTCCTCTCATCGGTCAGTCCGTAAGGAAGGTCGATGCATACAAAGTCCACTGCACCGAAGCTCATCGTCATACACGTACTCAGAGGATGGACGAGCACAAATCGAGCCCAAAACATCCCACCACATAATTTCCCCGTGGCGTCGCACTCACGCCTGCAGAGCGAGACATTGTGGAGCGGGGAGTGTCCGTAACGTGGGATCAAATCGCGGACCTGAAGGACGCCAAGCAGCTTCTTCAGGAGGCGGTTGTTCTTCCCTTGTGGATGCCCGACTACTTCAAGGGAATCCGCCGCCCCTGGAAAGGTAGTTGCCATACTCTACACTTGCACGTACCCCACGACTGGGGATGGTGCGTCATGCGTACAAGGCTTTCGTACCTCGTGCGCTGGAATCAACCACGAAAGGTTTTGTTGCTGTTTCCCCTTGCGCACAACAACATCGTGCTGATCTTTAGTTCGGCAATGTGATAGAGTTGATGCGGTGAGTGCTGTGGCATCGCGCTGAGTCGCAAAGTTTTAGCTGTTGTATCAGTAATGTGGGACGATAATGGCAACGGGAAACCACCTGGCATGTATCCCGGCGTCAGTGGATACTTTCCTCCATAGACGAGGTCACCGTCTCGGGAAAGTCGGGAGGACCACTGCTTGGCGAGTTGCTGCCGCCACAACGCGTTCGTCCTTGACGCTTCACCATTGGCAGGGCTTGCCGCTCGCAGCCTCGAGTTGTTCCAAGGGACGATTCTTCTACACATCTGCGGTGCGGAAGTTCGTCTCGACGGACAACTGTCGGACAGACCATCTGTGCCAAGCACTTATTTGCTACGCAACTAATGGGTGAAAACGTTGGGCAAATACCAAAGTTTACCCAACGTGATTCCACAAGCCATGTCATCAGTGCTCTCAAGTGACGTTAGATCTCAAGTTCGGTGATGGATGCTCTTTACGCGGTTTTAACAAGTTGTGCTTTGTTGCACTTTGGACCAGATATCACATTGTTGAATTGATGTTGTGGTGACGATTGAAGAGACTAACCGACACGACAAAGAGGTATTCCGATGTCATTCGTGGGGGTCCAGCAAAAATAGAGAGAGGCAGGCGTCGTCGGGAAACGTTGCTCAACTACAGGACCGCCGGTAAACCGCTTGCGGCGCCCAAAACCGAAGTCGTCTTAAGCACAAGTTTTTAGTCAAAGAACTTCCCCGCGAGTGCGGGATACTGGACTGCAGCAGACGGGGAACTGTAGAGACCATACTCGGTCCCAGCCTTTGTTCCCACCTTACACGGAAGACGCCATCAATGCGCGACACCGTTGCAGGCGTCTTGATGTTCGGCCCTCCCGGAACGGGGAAGACGATGCTCGCCAAGGCCGTCGCGGCCGAGTGCAAGACCACGTTTTTCAACGTTAGCGCCTCTACGCTCGGCTCCAAGTACCGCGGAGAGTCCGAGAAGATGGTCCGCGTCCTGTTCGAGATGGCCCGCTACTACGCGCCAAGGTGAGACGAACCAGTCCCGATCAGTTGCTCCACACGTAACAAACTGAGGTACTCACGTAAACCTGGATTGAACGAGGGTGGCGGGATTTATCTGGTCGCCGAGCTGCGCACTCCGAACTGTAGACCTAACCTCGCAACACCCACCTCCCTCTCTCGGCACTCCCCTCCGAATTGGAACCCACATAATTTAACGCAATACCTCGAGCAGCACGATTTTCTTCGACGAGATCGACTCGTTGGCGGGATCACGGGGCAGCGACGGTGAGCACGAGGCGAGTAGGCGCGTCAAGACCGAGCTGATGGTGCAAATGGACGGCGTTACAGGAGGGGGCGGCGGGGACGGGTCATCGCCAGATGACCAAGGGTCCGATGAAGCCGGGGGTGGTGGGGGTGGGGGCGGCAATGGGGATGGCGGTGGTGATGGAGACTCAGGGCAAGGGGGGGGCGCCAGCTCCAAGACCGTGATTGTGTTGGCGGCAACAAACACACCGTGGTCGTTGGACGAAGCCCTCAGGAGGTACGGGTCTTCGAAACAATGTGAATTCGTGGTTGATGTTGTTGTTGTAGTAGTTAGTCATGGTATAGCAACACGGGAATCGCAACGACATCCTGCCGCATGCAGGCGAGTGCAAAGGTGTGTTTCATGGCTCCACGTTCTTTTCCTCGTTTACCCACCCCCCTTCCTGTTCAAACCGGCAACTTGTTCTGCACTTTGCTGTCTGCTTCGGTACACATTGCTGTCTACTTCGGCGTGTCAAAGACGACTAGAAAAGCGCATCTACATCCCCCTGCCGACCGAAGTTGGCCGCAAGGAGCTCTTCCGCATCAACCTTGGCGATGTCGAGGTACTAAAACATGGCAGTTCGTAGGCATACGCGACGCCGCACAGGAGTCCTCGGCGAGTTTGACCTGAAAGTGGGCGTATCATCTCTACGGACGCTTGGCCCTCTAAAGGGACATCCACTTTGTCTCCTTGTTTGGCGCGAAACTGTCGTGAACGTAGGAAGTGGTAATGACGGTGGTGTAGACGCTTTGGCCATTTTCCGATCATTCTTTCACGATAGTTGCAACCGCTGCACGTTTCTGCGGAAACCACACAATATGACGACATTTTGTCCGTGCCCAACAATACCGCCGCCGACATGGCCCCGCCGCACCCTCAACAGGTCGACGACGACGTTGATCTAGACGCGTTGGCCGGTCTCACGGATGGTTACAGCGGCGCGGACGTCGCCATAGTCTGCCGCGACGCCGCCATGATGTCGGTAAGGAGGGTAATGAAGGGGGCCCTCGAAAGGGGGCTTTCCGGACCGGAGATACAAAAGCACATCATGGAAATGAAGGACGAACTCGCGGCCGCTGTCACCATGGAAGACTTCCGATCGTCTTTGCGCAAGGTGGGTGTGAACTGCATACGGCGGTACGTGGCACTGCTGCGGCTGCAGTTGTGGAGATCTTCCTTTTTTCGCATGTTTTCAGCCAACGTCAACGCTACCGAACGCATTTTTTCGATGATTGGCTCATGTATGTTGCAACCGCTTCGTTCTGAATGCACGCTACATCTATCGGTCGCATACTGAGATTAATGCTCGCGGATAATTCTCAGCGAATACGTCTCAGCGAATGAGCATGGAATCGGAACAAAAGAACGTCCAGTCTACCGACGGAGGAACTCCAATAGGGAAGTCCAAGTCCTGTGAAAATAATGGCCGTGCCTTCTGAAACATGCCAAAGAAGGCGTTTTACTGCATATACGCTTTAGACTAAGTAATGAGAAACTTCACAACCACCCTTATCTCTTGACTGTTCTTCGAAAACCGCGTACGCGCAGGTGTCCAAGTCAGTGGGGCAAGCGGATCTCGACAAGTACGCCGAGTGGATGAAAGAGTTCGGATCAGCTTAGTTTTTGTCAAGTCAACGAACCAGGCAACCGGCCACAAAAACGCCAGCACTCGTCCGACCGACGCATGACCGCCAGCTTCCACCCAAAGTGAAAGGAGACGGCTACAGGCCCTTTTTATGGTACAGTAGGCATGTGGGCGTTCTTCCAAATGGAAATGCATTCGGTACAATTCGCGCCAGTTGGCAGCACCACAAGGAACAAGCTGGAAAACATGTGTACGATAGCGCTTGCTTGAGGTTCAACGGGTAGAGGTTGTGCGTGTGGGCTATCCTCGTGGATATCGCCGGCCGAAAAGAGACATTATTCTTCGTATTCAAGAAGTCACCGGCGGTGCATGTACTGGTAAGGCGAATGAGGTATACCTGTGCCTCCGGGAAAGCGATGGGGGCTTACCGCTTGTCTCCGCCCTTGGATTTATGTCTTGGGGACAACAATATACCGGACACCACTAGGGTGTTGACACCAACTTGCTCCTCGAGGGTAAGCTCGCTCTTGGGTGTTTGTCCCCTGTCTGGCAAAAACTCACGTGTTGGATGGCACCAAATAATAAACAGTTCCACACTACGAAGTCACCAAGTGAGAGAGAGTCCAGAAAGATCATTTGACTGCACACTTCAAATCAACGCCGCGCTTTCGTGCGCTCCCTCAAACCGCCTAGACTATTCCTATGCTCCTAGAACCGCCCCGACGGGAAATACAAGGTCTAGTTGATGCTTTTGGCCCACTTGTCGAGAACCCTCAACAGTTTGGTTGTTTGGCATGAAGCAAGATCAACCTTGCCGGTTCGGCGAAACCTTCTGCAGCCGGCACCCGAAAACGTGCGCGTGTAGTGCCGTGCTGGAGATATTCCGTTGTTGGTCCGCTGTTCTTGTAATGCTCGTTAAAATCGATTCGTGCCGTCAAAACTAATCCTCCATATACTTCGTACGGTGGCCCTGCTTGGTCAGAAGCGGTGGTAAACATACAAACGCCATAGACAGTCCATGCCGCCGAAGCCAATCACACTGGACGTGCCTCGGGACAATAAACTTGATACTTCGCGAAGCCAGCCACAAGTCGATTGGCAAGGTACGGGTCGACACTTCTCACGATATCGCTTGGCGAAACCGAGACGCCAAAAGGATGTTGCGAATCAACACTTTTCGGCTGAAAACATGCTTGAAGCATTCCTCACACAAACCCTGCCTGACAACACTTATATCGCTAGGCCGCCATTGTACCACGGGGTACTCGATTGGCTGATCCCCTCACTTGCCCTCACTCCCTGACCCAAAAGCCTCCAGGACAACATGTCTAAAACTTCTACTTCTACTAAATACCGCTCCCGAACGTTGAGCGATTGCTACGTCTACACAATCTAGACAACAGAGCCGAGCACGGAATGTTGCACCAGTCTATCCCCCATCCATTACGTGCGCTCACTTCCGGAACTGAATCTGCCGAACACACAACGCATTCAACAAACAACACACTTGAAGTGATTATGGCCGTGACCAGCTGTGTCGCTGGTTCTGCAAACTCTTGGCCTCCCTAGGTCACAAAAAAACGAAAAAAATGAAATTAACATCAAATACTATCGCAATAACTTGATCTAATCCACAAACTTCCATCGAAATCATCCAAGGCGCACACACGTCAACAAGATGATGCCCGTCACATATTGCTGTTCTAAAGGGTCGCTGCACTACAAGTTTGCCGTGGGCGGAAAGCAGTGGCTTGATTTCTGTCCCCTTGTCAAACCAAACAACATGAAGCCAACGACGGCATACACCTGGCTTCAAGATAAAAACATAGTTGAAGGCATGCAAAATCAAGCCAACACAATAACGACCAGTCGGAGGAAATATTGGCTGCCACACATCATGCCGACAGTCGAGAAGCAAGGAGAACAAGGTTTCGCCGTGAAGCAGCTTGCGTGACGCAAATCTGCTGCAACTTCCAAAGAAAACACGACACAAGGGCACGTAGTTTTCCCCACCGCCGGACGAGCCACGCCGAAGCATCAAGCTCCGTTGCGATCATTATTGGCAGGGCAGCAAAAACGCACACAGCCTCGAAAAGCTCCACAAGATCTGCAAACACATCTCCACGCTCCTACTGATCATGCCACAATCGTCACAGTGCAGGCATGAACGACCAAGCTCGGAGTTGTGTCACCAAAGCAAATACAGAAACAAGCGGAGACGTAACCTTGGTCCACTCTTGGATTGTCGTCCAGAAGAACATCTGGAATCCTTTCCTACCAGATGCCCTCCCGCGGCGAACGACGTGGAAGCCAAACGTTTCAGTCCGTAAACGCAATACTCGATCGCGTTCATAGGTGCAAAAAATCGGGAATGATCACCCGTAATGACTTGTCGTACCCCTGAGACATCCGCCAACACAACAGTCAACAGTGGCATCGTTGCCGTTCGACCACAAACACCCAACCCCCCCGTCTCCCATTCAGAAAAGTACACACGCATTGTGCTTGGTGTAGCGACTTATCCCCTCGTACAAGCGGCCGAACCCTTGTTCGGATTCTCCGGCGAGGGGGGGCGGACAACACAGGCCCATCTTCGCGCCCATCCACCCGTTTCCAACACACTCCTATCGGTTTTCACGACACCAAACCCTTATGGTGCGTCATCAGCGCCAATCGATCTCCACAAACAACAACCAAACCACCCCGGAAAGAACCACGATGTATGATTAGCATCTTCCTCTTTCCATCACAGCAATACCCACCAGAGGGAGTGATCCGACCCGATCTAGTCACTCGATTGACCTACCAACTTCGAGACTACACACCACCACAGCAGTCGTCGCAAACACAGGCAGCTCAGAGTACCGCGCCACTTCTCAGTTACACCTCCTCACTGATCCTCGCAAGGCCCTGGGAGTCACGCAAATCGAGTGGGTAACTACTGACTCGGTCACCGAACACAGCATATGGATGGAATGAACGCCTCGTGGGCCTCCCCTCGGACATTACCGTTTCAACCTTTGGTCCATCCAACGTCATCATCACTACGAGAATAACCTCCAAGAACATATTCTACACCGTCAGGCGGGGAAAACGAGCCAACGTCAAGCCACCACATACATACAAAACGACTCTTTGTGTCGAGGCCAAGCATTCTTGAGAGCTGGTCATCACTTTAAAGCAAAGACGAACCCTGTACTCCCTTACCATTTCCTCGGGCACACCATACACATTTTCATATACCCCGCGTGTGCGTCAGCCCCTTGACAGCAATATCCTCAGACTCTTGTGTGAGATACTTTTGCCAGACCAGGTGCTTATTGCCTTCGTTATCTGCTGCACGATTTTTCCCACAAAAGGGCGACTGCGACTCCAGGGGGAAATCCCACGGAGGCTTCCCAGCAGTTGGGAAATCGTAAAAGAGCAGGTTTCTAGATCACGACCGCTTTCTCTACTGATCAGGCGGCTCGCTGCTGTTGCTATGTGTGGTAGCCGACGCCTGAGACGGGGGCGTTATCGGTGGGGTGAGGGGGCTGGCCTCGTCGTTGTTATCGCCGCCGTCCTTGCGGCTGGTGATGCTGTGCTTGGGCGGGGTGAAGCACTGGTTTAGCCGTGGCGGGGGTCTCGACTGCAGACGACACGTAACCGAGACAAAGGTTGTGTGGGTGGCGGGGGGGGTGAAGCCGGTTGAGGATTTCTTAGATTTGAGGCGGATCGGCGTCGTATCGCTTCCACCGTTCGCAAACGCTATGTTCTACGTCATGGACCGCCAGAAGAGTTTTAGGCGACGTATATTTAAAGGCAGAATTCGACGGTCCTACCGTCGATCCCAAAATATATGCCAATATACGGTGAGTTTGCGAACCAAGCAGTAGATCCCCCAGTCATGAACGATTTGGACATTTCTGAGAGCGCGCAACCCTTCGTTGAAAGACGCGTCCCGAGAGCTAGAAAGGTGGCCGCCGTCGACGTGTTGTCAGATGCCATGGCGAAGCGAAGCCGTTCTCCAGCTCCATACAAAATTCTGGCTTCAACACTGCTTGCGGGCGTGAAGATTCAACACTGCCTGTGAGGTCTCGTGCTGATTCCCAAATAGTGATTCGTGCGATGAGCATCGGCGGCGACAAAGCATGTGGCACCATGTCTCGCGACCAAAACAAATCAGAGAGGCCTCCGAAGAAAAGCACATTTTGGTGCCTCTTATCAAAATCCCGGGTCCTGATTCGTTTTGTTTTTTCATGGCGAAGCAACGCGTTTGTCGTCATAACCTCAGGTTGGTTAGGGCTTCGTAAACACAAGAGGAGCTCCAAAAGAGGAGGAGGAAAGTATGAAACGCCGCAACTCCAGGCCGTACACAACCAAATGTGATGTAAACGAACATGCCGACGGAAGGGAGGGTGTCGGACTTACCAACCGCAGCGACTCGTGGTTGGTGCGAGTGAGCCACTGGTACTCCACCCAGGTCATGTCTTCTTCGTCGTGGTCGTGGAAGCGGTCGGTGCTGCCCAGCCTAGTGCGGCACGAATGGAACGGCTCGGCAAACCTGGTGACGCAAGGAGCGACGGCGACAGGGTTGAGAAAGTTGCGACAAATGCATTCGTCAAAAAATGTTTCGCCAGGAAGATTATTCGCTAGAGAGGGAATGGAAATAGGAGAGGAGGGCTCGCCGCTGCATCACACGAGCGCTCTTGCAAAAATTGTCGGATGTTACACAGAGTGATGTGCGTGGTCCGCTTCGTATTTTTAGAATCACGTTGTTCTAAACAATTTCCGTCGGCGTGGGGAAGGAAGCGTGGTGTGCGGAAACCCAACAACTAACACTCCATGGTTCCCTTGGGCGACCCCAAGAAATCGAAACACATGGAAGTCCTCGGCATTAACCGAACCTTTGTAGGTTTTGTTTTCTGCACATGGCGGTGTTGGATATCTCGTGGATTGAAAACTAAGCGCATCGTCGTGAACACCCACGACAAAGACGGACGAGATCACTGAATCCTTCTCGTGTCAAAAATTGAACATTGACGGGAAGAACCGCTGGAGGAAAGGTGGGCACAGGAAAAACCTAACTGTCGGCCTCCCATTTGTGTAACCCCTGGGAGCTAACTCCCATCTGTGTGACCCCAGCTGGCGTGCCAAACCTATCCTGGAAGGTGTAAACTCGCACCCAACAGGATAGATGGCACGAAAACTCACACACGCAGCTTCCGAGTACATGCGAAAGGCTCTGCTTCGCATAGGGGCTTTCTACCCTACCCTGTGCCCTTCGTGTGGCCATACTGGTCTGCCTTGTAGCTTCCGTTTTTCGTTGGTGGGGGACTGGTGACGAAAAATTTTGGCCACGGAAATTCGTTTGTGCCTGTCGAAGAGTAAGCGGATGTGGAACGTCTTCATGTGAAGAAGGCGGGAAGACACGCAGGCTGGCTTGGTTTTCTTAAAAGCCGATATTTTCCACTCCTGCTATTTTCTGCACTGGAGCAGTGACACGCTCCTCCGTGGCAAGTGTGTTGGGAGTCACACCTGACGTATCCTGGTCCGCTTCGAAACCCGCATGTGTGTGGGAAAATCCGACCATCAACAGGTCCATCCGTCCCCCGTCCGATTCGTGGTTGCTGCTGTTACGGGAGTTGAATGTGTAGAAAAGCACATACATGCCCAGAGAATAAGGCAAGGGACAGGACCTTCGTAGCCCCTGTGGGAGGGAGCTGGTCTGCCCCCACATGCTCAGTCTACCACAGAGGGCAAGGACACAGCATGCACTGCGAGATGATTCAACAAGTGAGTCTTCACCAGGCTCCACGAGGATTGCTACGCTTGAAAATACCTTTACACTGCCCCCCGCTGCAAATAATCGCGATCATCATGCTGCGGCTGCCTATCATGCCATGCTGGTTCGGGCTCTGACGGCACGAGTGCTGCCTCGTGGGTTCTACGGTCCCATCTGACGCGTTGCACAACCCATCTCAAGCGTTGTGCACTGTCTGTAACTTCTGGACCGACGCCGACTGCTGGTTACGGCGGCGGTAGATGCTTTCTACATCCATCCCACCCGGACCTTTGCTACGTGTAATTTTTGTATGCATGGCGACAAGGCCGCCAAAAACCTCGCCACCAATGGACCTGCAGCTGGTACATACTTCAGTCTTTAATCAAGACGCGGGCTTAGCAGTCGAAGACTGCCCGTCTCCCCCGTCCCGTTCATGTGCGCAAAAGGGTGCCCGTCAGCCCCGACTGTGCACGCCTAAATCTTAGTCCATGGATCTCAAGTAGCTGACATTCGGTATTCGGCAAATCCTCATAGCGTGAATCACGTTGTGGCAGAAACGCGTTCTCAAGGAGAGCCACTGACGTTTGCTGGCCTCTCAAGACAAACAATCGCGAAGCGACGAGGGGTCCACCAGCGGTTGTTTTCCCATTTTGGCGACGTAGCCTCATGAATTTCTGGCGTACTTCAGTACCTACGAAGGTCCGTTTGGAGCCTGAACCTCGATGCACGCACAGATTAATCAGTAGTTACAGAAAATGCAGCGGCGGTGACTACCGCCCGTCAAAGGTGGGGACACGAATCCAGTAAAATTGTGGTGGAACAAAAGAAATTCATCCGCGGGGACAACATTTTCGGCAGCACAAAGAATAGGAAGAAACAATAAATTCACAGGCTGGCCCCTCCGTGTGTCAGAGATGTGTCAGAGAGCACTCCTTCGTGATTGTGGGTCGAACGGGGCCGTCACTACTCTTAATATGCATATCATATGCATACGATAGACACGTGCAAGCGCCATTTCCCGCGAGGGGAAAGCGAGGGTGGACGGCAATTTTAGGCCCTACTCTGAACTTGACGTAGACAACGGTTCATCCTCCAAGCCATGTGGAACTGAAAAAACCAGAAGAGTACCTGGAAGTAGGGTTTTTTTCCCTCGATCAACAAGATGTGCCAGCTCTCCGGTGACCTAGCCACACGACTGCTAACGTCCTTCCTAACAGACGGTGTTCGCATGCAGTTAGGGGGGTTGAAGAGCATATGCGAAACTCCCCTACGACCAAAATCCACAGAATGTTTGATTCACCCCGGCGGGGGGGGGACGCCGGCTCTCGCCTGTTTGTGTTCCCCGTGCGTGTGGAACAAAAATTGGTGACCGATACACACGATACATACATATCGGTTTGCGCATCGGGACGTTCTAGTAAGTACCCCCGGTTCGGCAGCGTTAGACCGCACCGCGTGTGGCTATCTATGCGTGGTATGCTCGCCGTACTACTGCTGTACAGCAGCCCGTACGGTGGGCAGCACCAGGCGCTGTGCGGCGCGCGTTTGAAATTGGTTCTTGCGTGCGTGTTGTTGTTGTTGTTGTTGTCTTCACATTAAAAACCATCCCGGTCTCTCTATCCAGTCGTGTTGCAATAAAGCAACCTAGAGCAACACTGATCGGACACCCCCATCCGGAGACCCCACGCTCGACGCAAAAAACATGATGTCTGTCGCTCCTGCTTGATTTCTGTCGGAAGTAATGAACCAGGCACTACATGGCTGCTGTTTTCTCTGTTGACGCATGCGCCGGGACATGCTAGTACTATTATACCTCTGTTATGGAAACAAAGACCATGCACATTCGGGTTCAACCAGGATCCAGAGCAACAACGTCACACCACGGCCCCCCGTGAGCGTACCATTCGACGAGAGCTTTCCACGTGCCACCCAGAGTCGCTCCTCGACCGCAGCCTCGGCTCCCGTCCATACCCCTTTGTGTACGCGCGCTAGGAATGTTAGTTTGATCGATGTACCTGCGTTCAGGAAAGGAAGGAGCGCGCCGGTCTGGTGTCCGGTGTTCCGCCCCGCTTAGAGTTCCGCCAGATTTATCCTTGGTTCTTTGTCATCTGCCCGAGAAATCCAATCGGCCAATCAAAAGATCGAACCATTTTCATCCACGGGGCCCGAGGGTGGGGTGGGCGCGGAGGAGATTTGGCTTGAGTGCAGTCTCGGTGGAGACTGTCAACTGCTTTTCTGTGCTCTGTGCTGCTGCGTCCTTGCGCCGGCTGTGCCATATTCTCTCTCTCATCCACTCGAGGAGGCTCGAGTGACATCCAACCCGGTGAGAGTTGGTTCTTCATGATTTTGTGAGCACAGGAAATTGTGAGGGGACGTTTGCCGCTGCTGTACCCAATTCCACAATTGGACCGAACACATGTGATGCACCAGCTTGGAGTAGACTCTATCTACTAGACAAACCAGGTGCACATGTGCACACCAAGTACCTCCCTCCCTCCCTTTCCAGCGCTAGGAATTCTGGTACGAGGTATGAAGGAATCGGGGTTGTGGAATCGTTGATCGTTCTTTCCTTCCAACGCCAACAGCTGCGCCTTCCAGCGGGGGCGCGGCGGGGAAATGAATGATGGATGTGATCAACCAAAAACCCACAACCGTAACCCTACGCCTACCAAGCACCCCACAGCTTTTGTTTCGCTGCATATGTACACATAGATCACTCCACGGTGTTGGAATAAACAACATATCTACGTTCTCAGGGCTGCGGGCTCGACCGCGGGCCTACAGAGTATCGATTCCAATCGATAGCTTGAGAGAGTCCCACCGCAGAAATTTGTACTCCTTGTTTACGTTTGATCCATGATTCAAAGGCATCATAAGGTACCGCCGTTTGTGGCCGTTGTTGTTTTCCAATGACATGTTTCATCACCCTTCACTCTGCTGACCGTTTGTCATCTCCCCCGCACCGCACCGTATGCATCCGTCACCACAAGGGTGCACAGGATCCCCGCGGCTTTCTGCTGTGCGACTTGGAGGATCGAGTGCGGTATTGTATATCTGCGGCGCCACCTGCGGTAACTTGGTTCGCCGGCAGGGAAGCCGTGAAAGCAATAGATCACGTGCGGCGGCACCGTACACGCACGCCCGGTTGACACAGGACACTGCCTAAAGAGGCGCGAGCGGCAGAACGGCAAAAGCAGAAGCATCTAACGGTGCGCCGCAAGTGAGTGTGGCCGCCCATCGTCATGAGGCCGGTGGGTGCTACGACTGTAGACTCCAGCGTGATGGACGTCACAGCGGATAGCGTTGGCAGTGGGCCTGCGGCGGCGGCAACTGGCTTGGAGATGGTGGAGAACGACAGAGATGAGGTGGAGGAATTTCACGGCGAGGGAGAGGTCAGCTCCCAGTGTTGCGGGAGGCTTTCGCCCACGGCTATCGTTTACATGTCGGCCTTCGTCTCCTCTCTCACTTCCGTTCTTCTGGGCTACGGTGAGTGCGCACACGCCAGGAGTTGGTTCTTGGCGGCAAAGGTAAAACCGGTCCGTATGGTGTGCAGCGAGCACTGTTGTTTTCCCCCAATGGCGCATCCTCTTTTCCGGATAGGCCTCCATTCGTCGCACGACAGATACCTTCTTCGATGTATCTGCTGAGGTGTGATGCAGTATTTCAGGAGTTTCCGCATTCAAGTTACGGCTCCGGTCTTCTGCTGTGATGGCATCTCGCTGCTTTTCGCGTAGCCGCTCCCCGCTCGTGTGTGACCACGCCAAACCGTTTGGTTTCATCCCGGCTCGATCCCCGTGGAAATCATCGTGCGGCAGACGTCGGAGTGATATCCGGGGCCATCAAGTACATCCAGGAGGACTTCGGCCTCAGCACACTCCAAAAGGCGAGTTCAAAAGAACCGACGAGATTCTATGCACAAGCTCAGGTAGCTTCTCTGTTCCTCCGGCGTATCGTTAGCATTTTTGCCTGACTCCGGGCAAGCTGTCGAAGAAGACGGCCGTCTCCCTGTGGCGTCGCCTCATGCGCGGTCTCTAGTCTGTCGAAGACTGCAGAGCGTTGCGACGGATTAGTCAGTGCCGTGGAAAGTGCTGGGCTGAGCAACACCACGGATTAATCAGTGTTCTGGAAGGTGTTGGGTAGAGTTAAGCAACAACTGAAGCGACCGCAGCGATGCCGGTGCCTTGTCGACTTGCTCCACAGGGAGTCATTGTGTCGTCGCTAAACCTGGTGGCCGCGGGAGGGGGCCTCATCGCGGGCAGCGTCTCGGACACCCTGGGCAGGAAGCGCTCCATCGCCGCTGCGTGCCTGGTGTTCATCACGGGGAGCATCATCAAGATCGCCGCTCAATCTTTCGGGTGAGCCTCGACGGAACGACCCGAGAATGGCCATGTCATTTTGCCTTTGTTCCTCCGCCACAGAATCTCTTCCTTTGTCTTGGCGGCTTTTTTTGGGCGGATCTACTGTAGTTTCCGCGGAACTAGCCTGCGGGGGGTTGTTCCCGGCCCCGTGCTGCCGCTCACATCCTTTCTTTCGGTATGTGTTCGGAACAACAGTCCTGACGTCGATTGTGCTCTTGTTCTTCGCCCTACCCTCTGAACATTTTAGTTGAGAGTAGTGATGAAGGTTGCTTTGGTTCGAAGGGGAAACTGGATAGCCTCCAGCAACCTTCACCGTCCCAGAGCTTGTTTCGTTGTCAGGCCCAGAAGTCAGCTCTCTATGCACCTAACACGATATTTATCTAGTTTCGGTGTTGTTTTGCGGAAGTGGTGGTGATTTTACATCGGTGCGGTTGGCGTGTCCGCCTCCCTCCCACTGCTGACTACCTAACCCCCCCCCCCCC